TATTAACGAAACAACTTTATTGCTAGTGCAAATTTTTTACAGGACGTTGCCTATGGAACTAAAGAATTAAAGCTAGATTCTGGAGAGAAATTCCCATTCGGAAAGTGATTAGAACGATGGTGCCTTCACGAATAATCAAGCAATACAGTTCTTATTGCCAAGAAACAGAGTTTAATCCAGCTAGTGAAAGAACATTATATAGAATCATCGATGTGTGCGCCGCATCCAGGCAGAAATCGCTTCAAGGTTTAGATTATTTCTTCACGGAAGGGGCACAGGCGTTCGAGTCCGTCGAACGTGTAATTATGGTGCTTGAGGAAGGGGGTGCCACTTCGATTTAGGGAAAGGAAGCCAAGGCCATCAGAAAAGAAGCCAAGCGTTATCTCAAAACCGACTTCAAGAGCCATGTCGGACCCGAGGAAAGATGTGTTGACCACTGCACTGGTTTCAGTCTCAGCGACCCTCACAACGACGCCTTCGCTCAATGTTGTAATCACATTCATGATATGTCTTGCTCCTCATGCAGCCAGCTAGATGAGGTTTTATCCAATGTTATGAGCATGATCAATTCCCCGAAGCTGACTCTAACAGATGAAGAGCAAAGTCAGGTTACATTTGACGTGGCCCACGCAGTGGAGGCAATCACGAGTTGGAAAGCGCATATGCTTCGAACTGTCAATCAAGAGCAAGCCAAGGAAGAAACTCTCGGTGCACTCAACTATCAAAGCGTTCTCGTAATTATGGACTGGGCAATGAAATATCTGCCCCAACGGTACCGAGAGCAAATGAGTGATTTTTACGGAAAGCGAGGAAAAAGTTGGCATGTTGCTTGCGTTGTTTTCAAAATTGGGGAAACGAATTCAATGTTGAAACCATAATGCACACATTTGATAGCTGTATACAGGATTGGTTTTCCGTTGCATCCATAGTAGAGCACATTCTTGTTACCATCAAGCAAGAACACCCCAGTGTGGAGATGGCCTATCTGAAATCTGATAATGCGGGATGCTACCATAATGCCTCACTGATTCTGTCCCTGAAATCCATTGGAGAGGGGGCAGGCATAACTATGCAAAGGTATGACTTTTCAGATCCACAATCTGGAAAGGATGTGTGTGATAGGAAGATCGCCCCAATGAAAGGTCACATACAGAGATGGGTAAACGAAAAGCACGATATCGTCACAGCCGTTGACATGAAGGAGGCATTGGAATCTTATGGTGGTGTCCGTGGATGCAGAATAACAGTTGCAGAAGTAGATGTAGCAAAGGCAGCGAAGCCGGAAGAATGGAAAGGGATTAGCGCTCTGTTCAACTTTGAGTTTCTTTCCTCCGGAATTAGGGCTTGGAAAGCTTACGGTGTTGGTGAAGGTCAGATGTTTCCATACGATGAAGTAGGTAC